GTTAGTTAGTTAAGTTAGTTAGTAGTTAGTAGTTAGTAGTAGTAGTAGTAGTAGTAGTAGTAGTAGTAGTAGAGTAGAGAGAGTAGAGTAGAGAGAGAGAGAGAGAGAGAGAGAGAGAGAGAGAGAGAGAGAGAGAGAGAGAGAGAGAGGAAGTAAATCAACATTTGACCATAAAATGTTCTACAAAATAAAATTTGAATCAGCTAATTTGTTTCTCATATTATGGATAGCTTGTTTCCAATAAATTGTTTTAATGAGAGGAATACTGATATCAATATAATAATCATCGGAGTCGTGTCCAAACTATTTGGGTCTAGTTACACGTTTCCTGCTATGCCATTCCCACTCTATCAATGACCATTAATTTAACATTGGATCAAGATTCATGAAATAGATACGGCAAAAGTTTTATGCTAGCTGCTCAACTAACACAACTCTACTCCTTTCTCCGGGCTGAGGACCAAAATATGACCGACTTGGGATTGGCCATGTTGGAGTTGGACAAATACTAGTAAGTAATCATCAAATTAGGAATTGAATGGATAAAATGGTTTAACAACAAACTGTCAAAACTTGGTTTACATTTAGATGAGCTAAACATGGGATTTGTTATATACTAGGTTCATCCAGAAACTACCCAATTGGCATTGTTCCTAAGTACTTTATAAATATTAGAATATATATAAGCCTGATATAAAAAATATATATGTATGTATGTATGTATATCTGTATGTATGTATGTATGTATGTATGTATGTATATTTTGATCTTTCATCTAATCTAAAAAATTCTAACCTAATCTTATATTAATCTAATAGATATTCGTAGTCTAATATATATTTTAGATTCGATTCATAGATTGGGTCAGGTTGGAGTTATATATATATGTTTATTTTTACTTTGACTTCGTCCATTTACTCGATTGGGTGTACCAAAGGTGGTACTAATTATAGGAAAAGAAGACAAAATTTATCTAGTTCTGGGGCCGGAAACCTTACAATGATATGAAAATCTAGTTTTTCTCTTAATTATAAAACGGAAAAAGTTCATACAAGGTGTCAACCTTATACTGTTGAAGTAAGGTGCACTTAAAAAATTCATCGAGAAAAAGTGCTCTAATGCGGGAACTCTCTAAAACTAATCATCTCGACGTTGGGATGTATATATATGAAATAAAAGGATTTGAAGTCATGAAAATAATGATCTTGTAACACATTATTTGTAAAAAAAATTTATATGCTTAATTTACACTATTTTTGGAGCTTTAAATTTCATAATTAGATGTAAAAATATATTTCCTCGCCATCGCAAGGCTTGTTGGCACCGGAACTGCATCTTTCAACATAATTTAGAGGTGTGCATTACCTTGATTATATAAGTTTGATTCCTCATACCCCTACATACGTACTCCATCTCTTCATAGCAATACAAAAGTTAGCCTCTCTCTCAAAAAAAGGTTGATTCCTCATACTTCACTCTTATAAAATTTAAAGTTCAAAAAACGGTGTAGATCAAGTTAGATAAATAAACACTTGATATATTCGAGAATTAACGGACTAGATAATGTGTTACAAGATGCACTGTTTTTAGGACTTAGAATCCTTTTCTTTCCATATTCATAATCTCGAGGTCGAGATGATCAATTAGAGGGTTATCTTGCATCGGAACAAACTTTTCTGGTGGGTTTTTACGGTTCACCGTACTTCTATAGTACAAGTTTGACAACTTATATAAACTTCTATATATATATATATATATATATATATTGAAAGTGATAATATATTTACTTATTTTTAAGTTTTAATGCCCTTACCTGTGATTTCTTTGCAGATTGATGTGTTCTATTATTATTACCCAAGGCGACTAGGCGAGGTCCTCTTTGTGGATGCACCTTTCCTGTTCAAACCATTTTGGCAAATTGTCAAACCCTTGTTGAAGTCATATGCCAATCTGGTAAATTATCTTATTGATATGCATGCATCCATAAGTAAATTTTTGCATACATGTCAATTCATCACCTCTTTAAGAAATTTTAGGGGCATCGTTGTTCTGGTTCAAAGTTTGAAGGCAGATATTATATTATATGCATGATAATCATTTTAATAGAAGCGAGAAAGTCGATATCATTCAGCTCATTACGTTTGATGTCCCCTCAATTGTCTGTTGTCATCCAAAATGAATTATTCCTCTGCTCAAATCTGTCAATTTCCATTTCCAGACTTCAGCTGAGAAACCCCTCGTGTCAACTTTCCATTTTTGGCAAAGGATATTACAATTACCATAGTGTTTGTTTGCTAAATGATATCATAGTAAACAATCTATTTATAAATGTCTCATTTTATATTACATTTTCACAGTATACAATCTAGTTTATACATGTATTATTTTATATTGCATTTGATGCTGCGTTATCCCTGCATTAGAAGTCATAGCATTCTCTCTCTCTCTCTCTCTCTCTCTCTCTCTCCAGACTAATTTTTGTTTTTTCTCCCAAGGTGAGATTCTGTAAACCAGAGACTGTACGTGAGTACTTCTCCCCCCCAACGGCTCCTCCTGGATTTTGAATTTGAGATATTGGAAGTTTTACTCTTTTCTCCGTTTTCCTAAGAGCGGAAATTTGTCTTGTCCATGATAAAAATGTACTGGCTGGTTGTAGTTTATGGTACGCTTGATATGTGAAAAACAGAGAAAATAAGTGATTACGTAGATAATCTTTGGTGGAATCAGGGCACCCCGTAATTGCAGACTAGTATCATTCGCATGTTCGAGTGGAATTCTTATCTGAAATACTTAGGGATCGGCTCAGGCAAATAATTTGGGGTGCAATTAGGTATCACATTTATCAAAAGAGACTGCACACAATAGGACCTTTCGGTAAGTCACAATTACTCCTAGTCATTACATGTGAGGTCAAGTTCACAAAGTTGGAGAGAAGTTTTAGTGGACTTTGAGCATAGTCAACAACACACCTTCCAAATTCTGTACCCATCAGCCTGGGGATTGTGGCCAATGTTTTAAAAAACAGTGATTTGGATTGGGAATCATTAGGAACCGAATCAGTTCCAAGAAGGTATGGTTCTAGCCTGGTCCCTCTTAAAAAACCAATGTTTCATAATTCTTTGTTTTTTTTTAAAGCTTATTTGAAGTTTTTTTTATTTCCCCCTAAATCCCCACACAATGAACCCCTATTTAGATTTTTTATTTTTAATATTTTTTGAAATGACCAATTTGAACTGACCTGGATTGCCTATCCAGTGATTCCACACGGATAAGTAGGGTGGGCGATCCACCACACCAATCCAGGTTTTTAAACACTATTGTGACTAATGTGAACTCTGATTACATACTTGTCCTCATCACAATTGTTTCCCTTTTGGTTGTACAGTGATGATTTTCTTGCGTGTAATGAATACTGGACATTACGAATCTTGCTGGCTTCTATTTCCCGCCTCAACCAGCTCCAAAAGGTTTCCATGCCTAATGTATGCACCCTTGGCTAAACCTAAAGTCTTAGAAAGTTGATTATGGTTTTAACAGTATCCACGAATGTGTGAATGTGTAGGCTGTGGCTCAAGAGAGCCATTTGTGTGCGAGAATTCTTATTGCAACCACTAATTTGCAAAAGTGGTTGCAATAATTATCTGCCACAATATGAACGAATGTGAGAATGGTAATATAAAACTGCGCTTTTTTGGTGCAGTCCACAAGCCTCGAGTTGGCCGCAAAAGCACAATATTAATCCGTAGTCTACAATTTAATAAATAAATGATCATTTTCTTGAATCTTTACAGTTGTCGAGTCAAAATCATTTCAACATTTCAACAGTATGTTACGAGTTGGTCTGAATTAAAGTGCCCACATTTGAATGCTCTGAATTTGTAACCATTCTTTGTAACTTTGTTTTCGGGGATCGTATATTATAAGATTATTCACTTTTGGTATGAGGTAACAATCACTCTTAGACATTGGATGTAAAACTTGACAGGTTAAAGTACGGTACAACATTCGACAAATTTTATTTTGTTTTTTTTGCCTAATTAATAATACATCTTTCAACCACTTAGTTTTACATCTAACTGTCAATAATGATTGTGACATTTTATGTAATATAATAAATTTTTTTTATGTATATGTTTATTTTTATATAAATAAACATGTACCATTTGATACAGTTTTGCTATATTTCTTAGGAAAAAGTTCATATAAAGGATGCAACCTTATAATGTCGAACTACGGATGCACTTCAAAAATCCATTAGAAAAAATAGTTTTAATGTTGAAAAACCCTTTGATTGATCATCTCGAAATCGAGATGTATGATCATGAAAAATAAAAAGATTTTAAGTTTTAGAAATAGTGCATTTTACAACATATTATCTATACCATCCATTTTCAAGATTTTCATATTTGTAAATGTATTTGATTTTAACCATTTTTGAAATTTAAAATTTTATAATTAGATATAAAAATAGATTTTGAGATAATCCTAAGAACATTTTACATCAAAATTATATAGCATGATAAGATTTGAAGGTGCACATTACCTCTACACCTACGGATGCATTCGTATGCCAACTGCACCCTATTTCTCATGATGTATATTCATTCGTTGTATCATTCACAGCGTGGCAATCATATCACTTTCTTGACAAAGGTGGGGTTTAAGTATGCTCGACATATGTTCAATCGAGCGGTCGAGAGCTTCATAAATAAGCTTGTCGCCTTTTTAGAGTTCTCTGAATCTAGTATCGCACTCTTTTGAGTTTTCAGTTTATTTTCTTAGAGGGCACCCCATCTTTCTCCCTCTGCGCCTGTGGGGTATTTGCCAGGATGTACGATGGGCTCCTTTTGATGGATCTTGCCTCTCACTTTTCCATTGCCGGCCGATACGGTTTAATTAAAATTAATTCAATTATTATTACAGGAATTCCCAAATGGACCATCACTTTTCCATTGTTGCCCGATACAGTGTAATTAAAATTAATTAATTTATTATTACAGTAATTCCCAAAAGGACCATCACATTGTAGAGGTTATAGTCATCAAAACCAGTTCCAAATAGTTAGCCGATCAGTTTGGCTGGTAAGTAAAAACTGGGTTTAGTCGAAAATTTAATCGGCTCTAGCTAGTAGGACTAACCATTTTAGTTAGACCAACAAAACAAAGTTGCAAAGGTTTATTTACTATATTTTTCTATTTTGTAAAATTTCACTCATGCAAATCAATTGACAGTTGGAAATGAACCAAACCCCTCAACAGTTAAAGTGGACGGTTGGGATTGGAATTGAACCAAACCCCTCGACCTTTAAAAAGTGGATGGTGTGATTCTGATAGAAAAAACCATCTTCCAATTGAGATTACTTTTGAGTACCATCTTAAACTGCACTATTTTTTAGTTTTTAGAGTAAAACTCTCTCCATCTTAATATTAAATTGATTATATTACTCGTTTCTACAAAACCTTCTAGTATTCTGCACTTCTTTTCCATTTCATCTTTTTCTCGTCGCCATTCCTATACACACCAGGTACCCCAACCTTCTCCTTCCTTAGAAATTCGAGCCATCTATTTTTCAAAACTTATTCAGGTAACTCATAATACATACATGTATACATGCAAATGATATACACGTATATGCATGGAAGTCGCAACAAAAATATACACAAAGACTGACCTCATGTGCCCTGGCAGGGCAGCAATTTTTATTGTTATTATACAATGAAAAATTGGAACCATACAAGTGAGGCATCTCACAGGCTGCGCATTTCAGACTCTGCATCATCATCATGCTCGCCAGCCTGCAGAAACAGTAAAACAAAGCTTGTATGTCTCTTGCTTCTTCATGAAACACCAATTATGAAAATATATAGAAAGGAGTCACAATGGGCAAGTATTAGTGTAGGTGACTTAGGGCGCGAACTGACATTCACAACATAAAAATCTAGATAGAAATTTACGCACATATTTCATATGAGTTAGGAGATGAATTGCAGCATTGCGAGTGAATTTTCTTGCGAACAGGAAACATGGAGCTGACATCCCTTTGTTCGTGCACCACTCTTTTCTGTACTCTGTTTCATAATGGATATTGTCGATACTCTGCACGGTAAGATTAAAGATGCGTCAATAGACAACTAAATAACTAATCAAGAACAGTAATGGCTATTTCACTGCAAAATGGTATTCTGACAATAGCATACGGTTGAGAAATGTATCCAGTGGAAATAAATTTATCATCAGGAAATTTGCCAACTTAAGACTTGAGTCAGCAGGTTACTGGCTGGAGTCAAGTTGGGTATCGGCAATAATTATATAGATAACAAGAAACACGACAAAAAGAAATAAGAGCCAAAACAATAAAAAATTAGTAAGGGAGATAATCTCAATTTGTTGTTAGTGGAGGCATATAACTTAGATATAATTAATATGAAAGACAGAGGAAGGGTAGTCCCACACTGTTCTTTCCAGTAGGTCAGGGGGGGGGTTTGAAACCTCATTCGTTGTCATGCAGGTCCATGTTTTAGATTGCAGCGAGATTAGACTGAATGTTGGAAACAAGTGTTTCCAACAATGTATGAAAATTAGTCTTAATTACAGATGTAATCTTTCTTCAAGCACCTTTATGTCATGTATCAACTGAGGAGTAGCATCAGAATGCTTGTAAGTAACAGGATGCCAACCCCGCCTTTCGTGATCTTTGGATGACATGTCCCACACAGTATGTGTAAGTGGCCGGCGAGTCAGCTCTGCTTCGAGTCCTTTTAGCTGAAATTTCAAAACCAGAAGAAAATCGTCAAAATCAATTTTAAAATAAAAATAAAAGCAAGAAATGTTGCAGTGGGAAGCATCCGCATAATTTGGTAAACTTGCAACTACATGTGCAAAGCTCCCTCCCTCTCTCTCTCTCTCTCTCTCTCTCTCTACTGTACGAACGTAACGTACGTACTAAGTATAGTACTACGTTTAGTTAACGTAACTAACTACTACCTACCTACTATACGTACTAACGTACTTACCTTCTTCCTTCCTTCCCTAC